GTCCTATTCTTCTTCGTGCTTTAAATATTCAAAAAAGATGGAATTACAGTTAGCTGCCAACCACTCGCTCATAAGAGTGACTACGGCCTCCGAAATCATTTGTTTGGTATCTATATGAGAGCGCAGACAGGGGGACTTTTGGGGTAGAATCAAGGGGGTGGCATACCTCGTTCTGGGTCCACAACGCGGGACACTGATCGTTTTATCGGATGAGGAGTAGGTTGTGTCGGAGAAAGTAGATTCGACTGATCGATGAAGGGGACGGTAGTTTCACCAGCAGAGGGGCCTGAGTAGTGGGTAGATTTGGCAACTGTGGACGTCGCCAGTGCATTCACTGACAGTTCGTGTGCGGCAGTTGCACATCCGCGATGCGGTGGCGTCATGTTCTCCTTACCTGGTTCTTCTGCAAGAAGAAACGAAATACAGATAAACAAGTTTCTCTCTCTCTATTTCCCTCGTCCTTACGTTGTAGAGGGAGAGGAAGCGAGTATTGCGCAAATAGCAGTTTTACGTCTTTCTTTCGCGCCACACGCGCACACATACACAAGGCAGTTGACCTAGATGGTCAAGAGAAGAAGATTAAAGGGTAATAACTAACGCAAAATCATTCCCACGAGACTTTGGAAAGGCTTGAGCAACTCTGACGGCCAGGGAGGAGGATAAAAGCCTGCTGTTGCGGAGGAGAGAAAGTCATCCATGAGTGTATCAACACTCTCCAGGAGAGAGATCCGGGCTTGGTCACCGGGCCCTAGAAAATAAAGTACAGTCAGGACTAGGTAACAGAAGTCGAGAAAAGGTGCGGCCGAATCTCTTTTTACCTGACTGGTCCTTATGGTTTTTGGTGTAGTAAAATGTGAGCTAGCCTTGTTAGCTGTCAGAAGGGTGATGTAGATAAGGCAGATCAAAAGTATCACAAAGTGAGAAGGGCTGTAGGGAGAATGAAAAGCGGGTTGCATGGTGGCCAATTACTTACACGAGGCGAGTGCTTCGAGCAGAGCCAGTGAACTTGGACGTATGACTGAAACCAGCGGTATCCCGTTAACGAAACCCTGCTTGCTCACATTCCTTAGGTTGGTCAAACTGTTCTGTCCCCAAGCAAGGAGCAGGGTGTCATAGACAGCACCAGGAGAGGCCTGGGCTCCGGGTGAGGTCGTGGGGCGATGGGTAGTTGGGGGAAAAGATGTCATCGGCAGAGCGGCCTCAGTGGGCAGAAGGCGGCGTAGACAGTTGTCAATATTGTCGCCCAGTAGACGAGATATGCTGATGAAGGGGAAGGATGATTAGCATGAAATGGGAGAGGGAGGATTCGAGATTAGGTTCGGATTACACATACCGCGATAATATGGCGAGGGCGATATTTCGCGCCACTTCTGACACGGGCGGCTCGCCACTATCGCGGTCCTCCTTCGCCTCCTCTACCGGATCGTTCTTCAGGAGCATACACATGGTATCAAAGGAATCTGGTGGAAGAGGAGAGTCTGCAGGGGGTACCAACGACACGTTCATGGTGGATTCTGTAAAGCGAGAGCCCTCGGCACTCATGTTGGCTCGATAAACTTGTTCGTAGGAATCTGTGTGGTGGGGAAGGAGTAATTAAAATAGACAACTGAGACCAAAGTTACGTGCCGGAGACCTCGAGAGGAGAAACGCTGTAGGTCAGATGTAAGCTGAGCACTTGCCAAGAAACCCTACAACTTTTGACTGTTCCTCTAACAATTACTACTTGGATGGTATCACTGGCTCAGACGTCACTCACGTATTGGCGTAAATGGATGTCTGGGTTCCTCTGACTCCGTTTCTGGATCTGGACTGGCCTGCTATCTTCATGATTGCATAAGTAGGCAGAACGAGGGGGTGGGGACAGGTGCGTGCGGCACTATTTCGGAAAAAGTGAGAACGGTCTCGTACTCGCCAGAGTGTGGGGGTATGTTGTCTCCTTTTGTTTGTTTCAGCACGTGGCCTCGACATGACGTTGAGAACGCTGGTGAGGGGTTAAGCGGAGCGCGGATTCTGGATGGCGCTATCAGCAGTGCCTAGTAACTACATCACTGAAATCAGTCGCTCGTACACAAGTGTCCAAAAACGCCTCTCTCCGAGGTTGATTTCGTCAATGCCGCTGCGTCTGAAGAATATGTGACTTGTCGGGTATCGGGCCTGTGTGGTGTGCGTCTATCAGGACACGCGGTCTGAGTCACATCCTTCTTCTGTGTCCCGTGAGCCTCTGACAACCCTTCCCACTGAGGTTTGTGCGAACACTGCATGTGCCAGCTGCTTCATGCGGGCACATCGGATTCTGGCAGACGTTATCGGGAATGCAAACCCATAACAAATACCAACATTTGAGGTGCCGTTGCCGGCCCACATCGCGCACAATGGGATCCGTGCCTTCCACTCCGCTCTCTGCCATTGTTGTTGTTGGCCGAAATCTTGGTTAAGTGTTTTTGTGGACCGGGGGATGATGTGGTACGTCTAGGTGCGGGCCTGGCTGTGCCAGCCGCCTGCGCCTCTCCCGCCTCCGGTTTTTTGACTGTGTCTTGACACCCGGCCCAGGTGGGGGAGGAGTGAATGCAGTAGGTGCAGCGCAATTCTACTACCACTATAAAACAAATCACGCCCAGGTCACCGTGCCTGCTCTCATCTTGCTGTGGGGCACACGGTGGATATCATGGGTCACGGCGGTCGAACTGTTATGCGAGCGTTGCGGACTTGCGAAAATGCTCCTCTCTTAAATTCTTCCTGATGGCAAACCACTGTTTACGAGCCATTTATGAACCGTCTGGTGAGTTCAGTTAGAAGGAATGAATGGTACTGGGATGCAGGGGTTGGAGGTCCTGCCCTTTCTGGGTTGCTGCACGTCTGCTGGTTGCTTATACCATGCACGAGTTCAGCCGGCTTGCCGATTTTCCAGACTGCGATTTGCTATCTAATTTGATCCGAAATTAACCGTTCGCTCGGTTTGTGGTACATGTGGACATAAACCCACGTCGCGTCAGCCGCTGCGCTTAAGCTCCTTAGCTTGTGTTGGACAGGGCACTGGCGCATATGAAAATGGTGAAAGTGAGTACAATACTGAATCCGCGTATTTTGAAAATTCATCGTATTTCTCACCACAACAAATCGGATGCGTTTGAGACTACTACTGCGCGCTTAACGTCGTAGGCTGAGAGGTAGCCAGCTGCTAAAATAACTCGGCTAGCCCTTTGAACAGTAGTCAGGCTGCAGTGGCTCCTTAGTGGGGCCTTTATCGAATTATTAGGAATGAAGACTGGCACATGTGGAGTGCGAAGCAGACGGTGTGGTGCGTAAACTGCCTGTCTAACCTCGTCAGTAACTGTGTCCACGTATATCCCCAATAGCCTTGGCTTGGTCTTGTCATCAGAACACGATAGGCGTAAGGAAAGTGAGAGAGGGATGCCAAAAAAATTTCCTTTTAGTATAAACTAAGTCCAGCCATTGTACCCTTTTCGAGACAATAGCTGACATCATCTTTCGCGACGGTCGAGCAACTGAACGTAGAATATCGATCGATGTCCAGTAAGGCACTTTTACATCCCCGCTGTCTAGTCAGCTCTGGGAGCTCAGATAAGGCCTGGCTAGTGATAACATATAAGTACACCAAGTCTGAGGACACTTCTACACCGATTCAGACACCGGGTCTTGGCTGAAGGTAGTGTGTATAGCGCAGGCGAGTCGATTTGATCATTCTTTCGGATTGTGCGCTGGACCTCAGCATAGAAAACAATGAGGATGTTTAAACGACTGAGGATGCATAAAATTGGACTCTTAAATTCAATGCGTAAAACAAACATCCCTGCATTGTGGAAATCCTGCTGCCAAGTAAATTTAAGGTCCTGGCCACCTTCTGCACCAGACCGCACCTCCAAATAAGCTGGGAGATGAAAAAATGGTTGTAATCTGCATGAGAACCTACCCATGCAGAAGTGCCTGAAGGAATTCAACTTGCGCCGAGTTTTCGGCGAAATACCAGAACAGCCAGCACACCAGACTTTCTTGTCCTAAAATTCCGCCCTGACTTACACGGTTTCTTGACCAGTGATCGAAATAGCAGCTGAGGCCCGCGAAAATGATAACTGTCCAGCCTTGTCGTGACAAAGGAAAACGTGAGGGTTGAGCAAAGTTACTGGCCACAGTTGCATCCGCCC